CCCTCCCCGGCCAGCCGCCCGCCCGGCAGCCCTGACCGCGAGCTCCCGCCTCCGCTTCAAACTCACCAGAAAAAAAACGCTGCACTTCGTCCGCCGAGCAAGACCAGGGCAAGCCGCGGACCTTCACCACGAAGCCCTCTCCGCCTTCGGTACCCAACATCATCGTCTCTTAGTGGATCCAGGCGTCGAGGCAGACTGCACGGAGGGGATGAGGGTGAGCCCTGGAAATTGTTCAAATTGAACTGCCCTCCCCCGCGAGGCGCCCCGCGGGCCCGCGGCGCCTCAATGAGAACCAAGTCCGGGCACAAGTCCCAGCCCCGGCGACTCCAACACCAAACACCCTCTTAAAAGCCAGTGGGCGGGTCGCCCAAGCCGCCCGAGCTCTTGTTACCCGAGGACCAAGCCGCAGGGGGCCCGGCCTGGCGCCAGCGTGGAGGCAAGGAAATGGCGGCCGCGCTTCCGCTCCGCCTCCTCCGACATCTCACACAATAGAGTCGGCGCGGCCTGCAGGCCCCAGCGGCCCTGGCGGCAGCCCGTACCTTGAGAAGGATCCCCCCACCCCACCCCAGGCTCTACAGGGACCTGGGACAAGCAATCCTCGCAAAATCGGCATCTTCAGGGGCCGCTGGACGGCTCACATCGAGCAACAAACACTCACCTGATCACACGACTTCTGCGTGGCTGAGCGAAATGGCTAGCGGGCGCCTGCGCAACCTAAATAAGGCCCTTTGAACAAGCTCTGCGCACGCGCAGCCAGGCGCCGCCCGCCCCTGCGTCACACAGCGCTCCGACGCAGGCGCACTGTCGAGAGCCGGCCCACTCGGAACAGCCAGTGGTGACGCCCTAGCGCCGGTGGCTCAGCCCCGCCCACCTGCACAAAGCCGACGGGCTTTTTGGCGCCTGCGTATTGTCACGGTTATTGAACAAGCTTCCCCGAGTTAGGATTCAGTTTCCTGCGCATGCGTCTTCCTTCAAACCGCTCGCGCCTTACCCGCCAGCGGGGGGAGGGGAATGGCGGTAGCCGGCTCCCTACGGGGCTCGGCGGGCGGTCTCCGGCTCTGCGTTGGGCCGAGGTGGCCGTCTTCCTAGTCCTGCCTCCAGCCGATTAATCGCGCTGCTGGCC